CCCCACCAGGCCCCTCCCTCCTTTGGCCCCGCCCCTCGCCTTGCCCTCCCAGAGGCCCCGCCTCCTCCGCGCTTCAGAGTGGAGCCCCGCCTCACCCTAACCGTCGCCCCTCCCTTCGACGCCAAACGGCTTCTAGCCCGAGAGCTTCCCGCGCTCGGATTGGCTGGCTGGTCTCCGTCCCGCCGATCGATTGGCTCCCGGCGCCCGCTTTCTGCGGCTCTTCCCTCGGGCGGGGGCGGGGCCAGAGGCGGGAGGCCCCGCCTCCTCCGCGCTTCAGAGTGGAGCCCCGCCTCACCCTAACCGTCGCCCCTCCCTTCGACGCCAAACGGCTTCTAGCCCGAGAGCTTCCCGCGCTCGGATTGGCTGGCTGGTCTCCGTCCCGCCGATCGATTGGCTCCCGGCGCCCGCTTTCTGCGGCTCTTCCCTCGGGCGGGGGCGGGGCCAGAGGCGGCGGGCTGCGCGGGAGTGGTCGGCGGCGCGGAGGGGGCGGGTCTTCGCCGCGCGCAGCGCTGGGGCCGGAGCGCGAGGTGCTGCCACAGCCGCTTCAGCCCACGACGCCGCGGCCGCTCGTTCGCCTCCTGCTTAGCGTCGTCCGGAGTCTGGTCGCCTCAACCCCACCCGGTCGGCAGGATCGGCCACACCCGGCTCGCAGCTCTGCAGTCCGCCGCGGGGCAGGTGAGTGAGTGGCCGCGGGCTGAGGTGGGGGTCCGGCGGGGACACTGCACGCGCGGGCGGGCCGAGACCCTCAGAGAGGCTGGAGGATCCGAGAGTTCGCCGTCTGGAAACTTCACCCGGACCCTGGCGTCGTGGGTCCTGGGCGGGGGTCCCAGGCTGATGGGGGGTTCTAGACTGATGGAGGGTCCCAGGGTGAGGATGGGGGTCCTAGGCTGATGGCGGGGTCCCAGGCTGAGGAGGGGGGTCCCAGGATGATGAGAGGTCCCAGGCTGATGGGGGGGCGTCTCAGACTGCTGGGGGGCTCCAAGGCTGATGGGGTTCCCGGGCTGGTGGCGGCGGTCCGAGGCTGAGGGCGGGGGTCCTGAGTAGATGAAGTGTCGGTGGAGGGCGGGGACCCTGGACCCGAGCGGGTTCCTGGCCGGAAGTCCCAGGAAGTCTTAAGCGAGCTATTCAGGTTGAGGGGTGTAGGTTGAACGGCGCAGGTCAAGCCCAGTCTACCGCTGTTGCCTGGTCCCCGCGAGGTCCCGCGGGTCCCGGCCAGCCTTTGCAGACGTCGGGGAGCCACTTAGGAGGATCATGGCCTTCACCCTGGCACCCCACCTCCTCCCCAAAGTCGGAACTTGTTTGCGGGGCCGGAGCGTCGCAGGCTTTTGGGCCAGTGCACGATAGCCGCGATCTTACTTGGACTTGCGAGGCTTGTTCCCAAACCGACAGAAGTCTTGTGATTGAGATGAGATTCTAGGGGAAAAAAGGAATCCTGGCAGGCTTAGGGCGAGGCTGGGGCGCGGCCTCGTTTCTCTCTTTTCCTCTTGTTTTCTGGGCCATCCTTCCCCAGAGCCAGAACAGGTAGACCCGGCAAGTACCGGTTCCTCTTTTTGGATCACTATATTTTCTTTGGGGGAAAGAGGTGAGCTTAGACATGTTTCATGTTCTCCTAAGTGTTCTGTTTGGAAGTACTGTTTAGTATGAAAGTGTTTAGTTTTCTAGTTTCTCCCTTTACTCTGCACTCTATCATTTGTATAGGAAATTTGAAAGTTAACGGAAGTTGGGCCTCAGGATTGGTTATTTTTCTCCTACTTTCTCTGGATAGCATGATAGACTTGCAAATCTTGTTAGCTCTGCCTGTGAACCAATGGCGCTGTAGGTTGAGGAGGATTTTTAGTGGGTGGTGCATGCATCAAAAGAAACCCAGTGCCAGGGCCTTGGAGAAAGACTTTTTGAGGCCAGACTGAGTAGCTAGCATTCAGACTCTCCATTCTAATCCATTCCTTGGGCACAGGGTCCTCTGAAACCCAACTTGCTTTCTGGGGCAAGCCTGTGCCCCTTACTCTTTTGGACTTACTATAATTTAGGTCCCAAAGGAACTTCAGAGTGTATCTCTACTTAGACCTAACCCCCAGTCCTCTTACATATGAGAACAGGTCATCATCTAACATCTGATATGCCCATTTTGTTCCAGAGAGGAGTGTGTGTAGATGAGTGCTCTCTGGAGAGGGCTGGAGTATCAGAGGGGCTAGAGGCGCTCTGGATGGTGTCTTGAGACTTGAGGTCCTATAGCAAGCTGGGGCCTACAGCTAGCTACAAGGTCAGATGATGTCTAGTTGAAGTCTTTCACTTTGAACAGTGTTGCTTTCACTTGTGTATAGGTACCATTGTTTATACAATGCAAGTACAGTGCATATGTTTTAGAATTCATATAACTTCATGCATTTAGTTGGTGCTCAATATTATAAACTTTAAAAAAGTTTGGGGGCCAGCAAGATAAACTCAACATCTAAAAAGGCTTGCCTGGCAAGCTTGACAGTCTGAGTTTAATCCCTGGAACTGGTCTATGGTGGAAGGAGAGAAGTCTCTCCCGAAAGCGCCCCTCTGACCTCCACAAGTGCACTGTGGCATGCATGTGAGCACACTAACAGGCACAGGCACAGACATGCACACTCTAATACTAGTAAAATAAATTTAATAGAAATGGAATCTTTATAACTGAAAAGATTAGACATTCTATCTAGAATTCATAGCTTTTTTTTTTTTTTTTTTTTTTTTTTTTTTTTTTAAAAAAAAAAAAAAAAAAAAAAAAAAAAGAGGACGATAAATCTTTCACTGTGGGCTGGCCTTACTCACAGAGATCCACCTACCTCTGCCTCCCCAGTGCTGGGATTAAAGACATGCGCCCCAACACCTGGCAGTTTGCAGCTATTTTATAAGGAAAAAAAAAACAAAAAACAACAACACACAGGGCATGGGTACATCTTACCTTTTTTTGTTTCCTTTTTTGAGTCAGTCTTGCTTTATAGCCCAAGTTTTAGGCATGCCATTGTGAAATGCCATTATCATCTACAAAGTTCACAGTTAAAAAGTTGCCAAAAAAATACATGTTTTTAAGTTTGCCATTTTGTGTTGAGCCACATTCATAGCTACGCTTGGTCACATGTGACTGGTGGGCCATAGGTTAGATATACCTGGAAATTGTGATCTTCCTATATCACCCTTCTAACTGGTGGGATTATATCCATGCACTACCATGCCAGACCCTGCTATCTGTTTTTAAAAGCTGTCCTTTCAGTAGGATGTGATGGCCCCTTTAGTCCCAGTACTTGGGAGTCAGAGGCTGTTAGATCTCTGTGAGTTTGAGGCCAGCCTGGACTATAAAGGGAGTTCCAGGCCAGCCAGGGATACATAGTGAGACCCTGTCTCAAAAAACAAAACAATGCTATTCTCTGCTTTGTTGGAGAAAGGTGGAGTATATGTTGCACGTATAAATTTGTAAAAGTCTCAGGAGGTCCTTGAAATAATTCAGACATTGGAGTTGGGTTCTGAATTAGTTCGTTGAGTTCTGTCTGGACTCACGTTGATAACATCAGGAGAAAGTCATTTCTATTTGCACAGAAGTCTCAGATCTTCATTGTAAAGGGAATCACTGAAGCAGATTGGTAGATGTATTTTGTACATACCCTTGATGAGAGAGGCTGATGCTTTATAGTATAATAGAGAAAATACCTGCTCACACATTGAAATTGCCTCGGCTTAGCATTATCAGAAATGCTGTAGATTTGGAGGCAGTTAGCAAGGACTCACAGGCAAGCTGTTGGTCTGCTGTCCAAGGTACTGAATTAGTGTACCTTTGCTTTTCTTCTTTAAACTTTCTTTTCAGTGGAAATGGCTTTTGACATATACTAAAAACAATTCTAGGGGATGAAGAGATGGCTCAGCACTTAAGAGCATTGGATACTCTTGCAGAAGACCCCATTTTGGTTCCCAGCACCCACTTCACAGCTAACAACTGTCTCTAACTCCAGTTCCAGTGGATCTGACTCCTTTTTTTGACCTCCGTGGGCACTGGGCACATGGGTGTACTTAAATACATTCATGCAAAACACTCATAGAATACAAATAAATAAATAAATAAAAATTAAATAAAAATTTACTGGGTGTGGTGGTGTACACTTTTGATCCCAAGACTTGGGAGGCAGAGGTAGGTGGATCTCTGTGAGTTCAAGGCCAGTCTGGTCTACATAGGGAGTTCTAGGCCAGCCAGGGCTGCACAGTGAGAAGGTTGATGTAACTGAGGAACAGTGTGTGCTGATACGGAAGCTGATGCACTGCTACCTGACTTGAGTTCCACATCTTCCTAGCAGCTTGCTCAGGCTCTTCTTCAGTTGATTGCCATGCTCTACTGCCTCATCTTTGCTTTGTGTTGGTCACCTGGGAGAGAGTAGACCAGGTACACACTACTGAGACTGTGGGTCACGGCCTCCTTGCTCTTGTCATATTACTTCCCAAAGCTTGCTTCTTCACAGCCTCACTAATTCTTTATATCTTTAGATATTTTGTTGTCAGTCATGAAGGCATGAAATATCTCACTGTTTTAATTTGTATTTCCTTAATTACTGGTGAGTTTGAGGATTTTTACTCATTTTTTTGCCACTTAGGTTTTCTTTCCTATGAATTGTAATCTTATGTAGTTTTTTAAAAAGTTCTTTGTATACTTAAAAAAACATTTTTTTAAAGATTTTTTTTTGTCTTTTTGAGACAGGGCCTTCCTGTAGCCCCAGCTGTCCTGGAACTCACTATGTAGACCAGGCTGGCCTTGAACTCACAGAGATCTCAAGTGCTGGGATTAAAGGCGTGCGCCACCATGCTGGCTTTTTAAAGAATTCGATGTGCACAAGTGTATAGCTTGCATGTGTGTAAGTGCACCTGTGTTGTGTAATGCCCATGGAGGCCAGAAGAGGGCGTCAGATCCTCTGGAACTGGAGTTACAGACCATTGTTAGCTGCCATGTGGATGCTGGGAACTGAGCCTAGGTCCTCTGCAAGAGCAACCAGTATTCTTAACTGCTGAGCCATTTCTCAAGCCCCCTCTTTGTATTCTTTTTAAAAAGTAGATGATTGTGCTGATTCAGCATACCTCTTCTCCCTTGTTTTTTGCTTAGTGTTTCTTCTCTCTGGGTGGGGAGTTTTCATGCTATAGTATGAACATCAATGAGACTCTGTTTTCTTTCTTTCTTTCTTTCTTTTTTTTTTTTGATCTTTTTGAGACAGGGTCTCCCTGTAGCCCCAGCTGTCCTGGAACTCACTATGTAGACCAGGCTGGCCTTGAACTCACAGAGATCTGCCTGTCTCTGCCTCCCGAGTGCTAGGGTTAAAGGCGTGCACCACCATGCCCGGCTCAAGACTCTGTTTTCTTAATAATTACAATCAAGCAAAAAGAACCCTTGTACGTGTATCTATATGCAGGGGCAGCTTGCCCCTAAACAGTGTCACTTGTAACACCCTCATATCTTGCAGCCGTCTGTGGAGAGAGGCTGAGAATGTACATTTCGATGGTTGAAAGGCATTCATTTTGTGTTGGAGCAACATCTATACTTGTGTGTATATTTTTGAGGAATGTGGGTAATTTCAGATAAAGCTTTTATTTCTCTTGTGGATAATTTTGTTGGAGGGTGTATATATGGGCATTATCAAGGACTTGGGACCCTTTTAGGATGTTGGGGTGAGTGGGTTAGGGAGGGCTTGTCCAGTAGGTAGAATGATGGCTTCCCAACACTATGCCCTCATCCCCAGAGCCTGTGATGTGTTATGTTGCTTGGCAGGGGGAGTGAAGGTAGCAGATGGAGCAAAAGTTGCTTATCAGCTGTTTAAAATAGGGAGGTTGTCCTGGATTATCTGGGAAGGTTCACAGTAATCATGAGCATCCTTAAAGGTGAAAGAGGGAGACAGAAGAGTCAGTGTCAGAGTGATGTGAGGATTTTAGGCACTATTGCTAGCTTTGCAGACAAAAACGGGACATGCCAAGGAATGCAGCAGCCTCTGAAAAAGGCAAGAAAATGGGCCTCAGAAAGGAGCTTAGTCCTTGATTCTAGCCCAGTAGGACCATATCTATCTAGCAACCTCTGGAACTGTAGGATAATAAAGGGCTGAGTTAAGCTAATATGTTTGTGGAAATTGGTTACAGCAGTATTAGAAAACTGATACAGCTTGGACTCTGATTTATGTACTCTTAGCTGGAAAGTTTTAAGGAGGAAGTTACAGGCAGATTGGCCTTAGAAGATAAAGTGATTCAACTACTGTTTGGGAGTTTGCCACAAGTATACTTAAAAAAATTTTTTTATGTGCATGAGTGTATAGCCTGCAGGTGTGTAGTGCACCTGTGTTGTGTAATGCCCATGGAGGCCAGAAGAGGTCGTCAGATCCCCTGGAACTGGAGTTACAGACCGTTGTTTGCTGCCATGTGGATGCTGGGAACTGAGCCTAGGTCCTCTGCAAGAGCAACCAGTGCTCTTAACTGCTGAGCCATTTCTCTAGCCCCCTCTTTGTATTCTTTTTATTGTGCTTGTGCCCCATTTTTAAAACCCCTTTAAAACATCCCTTAATAGTTGTTTACTTTTTTTTCCCCTTGAGACAGGGTCTCTAGCCCCAGCTGGCCTCCATCTTAAAGAGATCCACCTGCCTCAGCCTCCCAAATGCTGGGAATAAAGGCATGCACCACTATGCCCAGCCCAGATGTTTACTTATAATTTAGTCAGATTTATCAATCCTTTATAGTTTGTAGATATCTTGTATAACTTCAAGGTCAGAGACATTGTCTTTTTTAAAAAAAGTTTTAAATGTGGGCTGGAGAAATGGTTTAGTGGTTAAGTGCATGCACTGCTCTTCTAGAGGACTGGAGTTCAGTTCCAAGCACCCACATCAGGCAGCTCACAACTGCCTCCTCACAACTACCTCTAACTCCAGCTCCAGGGAGATCTGATGCCTCTGGCATCTGCAGGCACCATAGGCACCTGCATATACCCACATAAAGACACACAAATACACATAATTAAAAGTAAAGTAATAAATCTTGAAAAAAGTTCAAATATTTGACTTTTTTTTTATTTTATTTGGAATTTATTTTTGTATGGATTGAGGTAGAGATACAATTTTAGAATTTTTTCAAATGCCTAACCAATTGTGCCATTACCTTTTTTGAGTACCATCCGTTCCCAGTGATCTGCACTGGTCCGTTTGAAACATACTGAATTTCATAAATGGTCTGGATGAGTTTTCTTTTTCTCCTTGAACATAATGACAATTTCTTTCTTTTTTTTTTTTGTCTTTTTGAGACAGGGTCTCCCTATAGCCCCAGCTGTCCTGGAATTCACTGTGTAGACCAGGCTGGCCTCGAACTCACAAAGATCTGCCTGCCTCTGCTTCCCAAGTGCTGGGATTAAAGGCGTGTGCCATCACACCCGACCAATTTCTTTCTTTATAGTCCTTAAATTTTTTATTTTATTTACTTTACATGGACCACTAGGCAAAGTTCATAGAAATTAGATAAGATTCTCCTTGTATTGCTTTCACTTTAAGGATTATCCTGCCAAAGCCTTAATTGTAAACTTTGCTATTGTTTTAGTATCCTTTTATTAGGTACAGATTGTCTCATCTACTTGTAGTTTGATTAAAGTTTTTAAAAAAATGTCAGCTAGGCATGATGGCAGAGCAGATACTTGTAATCTTAGCACTCAGGAGACTGAGGCAGAGGATTTTGAGTCCGATACCAGCCTGGACTGCATAATGAGACTCTGTCTCAGAAAAATGACAATTATATTTTGATTTTTATCAAATATATTTATAATTTTATGTTTTTTTCCTTCAAACTTCTTTAAACTGAAATAAAATAGTTTAAATGTTTAAATTTTAAGCTGCTATTGATTTTTTTGGGGGTGATATGCACTACATTAAACGATTCTATTGAGGTAAACTCATATTTAGATTGACATGAGTGTTTATAAGGGGTACTGGCCAGTGATGATCTTCTCCTGCATTGCCTGTGTTCAGATTTGGTGTCCAGGTGGTGGTGTTTTAGCCTCTCTGTAATAGTTTAAGAAAGGGATCATATTTTGTGTGGAATCTGACAAATTTATTTCTTTTTTTCTTCTTCCCTCTTCCTTCGTTTTTGAGGCCTTGCTATATATTCCAGATTGACCTTGAACTCACAGCCTTTCTGCTTTAGGCTCCCGAGTTCTGGGATTATAGGTATGTAACACTATATCTGGGTCAACATTACTTAGATGTTCTGTTCCTTTTGGAACATGGAGACTTGGATGGATAATCACTGGAAGGGTTGCTAGTATATCTGCTCACATTTCATGAACCAGAAAGAGCAGAGCTGTTTTCTTTATTAGTGGTCAGTTGATAAGAGAGCTTAAGATCCAAGTATACGCTTCCCTCCTTTGCCTGGGCTTTGTGCATGAAGCTAGATATAATGGATAAATGTTAAGACGGGCATCATGGTGCCCGTCTCCTTTAAGTGCATGTGGGCGTAACCTGTGACTTCTGTTTAGCCCATGCCAGGATGTCATTTCCATGTTGCATTATATAAAATCCCATTTTGTTGGAGATTTGATGTTTAGACTCTTTGTAGACTTGATGAAGTAGGGTAGGAGTGCTAGAGATGGCATATAAAACTTCAGAGGCCAACTGGAACTGAGGGTGTACTCTAGGATGAGCAAGAAAAAGCAGGGAACACTCATTCTTACAGCGTGGGGAAACAAATTCTGTTAATTCCATAAGTACATTCTTTCTCCAGTTAAGCCTTCAGGTGAGAGAGCACAGCCTGGCCAGCCCTTGAATGTGGCCTTGTGAGACTCTAAGCAAGAGGGTCAGTAAAGCCTGCTTTGGTTCCTGACTCACAAAGACTGAGATGGTAAGTGTATTATTTAAGCTGCTAAATTTGTGAGAGCCCAGCCCATGCAGCCATAGAAAACCAATGTGTTAGATGTCTGATGACCTCTCAGGTAGATTGACTAGAAATGGATTTGGGTTGCTGAAGAGTGAATTTATTTGAGGTGGTTTATGTTTTATTTTTAAAAACATTTTCCTTCTTATAAAGTAGTACAGATGTTTTGTATAGAAAAATTGGAACAGAGAAAATAGAGGGGCTGGAGAGATGGCATTAAGATCACTGGCTGCTCTTTCAGAGGACCCAGCTTTGATTCCCAGTACCCACATAGTAGCTAACAGCCATCTTTAACTCCAGTTCCAGGGGATCCAACATCCTCTTCTGATCTCTGTGGCATTGCATGATATAGGTGTACTTAAATACATGCAGGTGATACACTCATATACATAAAATAACATAAGTAAAAAATATTTTTTAAAAAAGAGAAGGAGATAGAGAGATGGCTCAACAGTTAAGAGCACTCGCTTCTCTTACAGAGGACCCAGGTTTGATTCCCAGCACCCACATGGTAGCTAGTAACCATCTATAACTCCAGTTCCAGGGGAATCCAATACCTTCTTCTGACCTCTGTGGGCATTGCATGATACGGATATGGGTGCACTTACACACATACACTCATACACTCATAAACATAAATAAAAATAATAAAATATATTTTTAAAAAGAGGTAATTATCCAAATATTACCACAAAAGATATATATCAACAACTTTTCCCTACTTTTATGTGTATGTGTGTATACATGTTTATATATGACATATATATCTTAAAAGTTGTGATTCATTCCATAATATATTTTTTGAACAATTATTTTCCTTTGGGCTGGGGTTGTAGCTTAGTGGTAGAGTATATACTTAACATTCATGAGCTCCTGTGTTCATGCAATCACAAATAAATTAAATAAATAGATAAATAGATAGATAGATGATAGATAGATAGATAGATAAAAAGTAAGTAAAGAAGATGTCTTCTAAATCAAGAGCACTTCCGTCTTATCCTAGGTAATCTTTTGAAATATGGTTTTGGATGGCTGCATATTATTCCAGAGGATGTCCTGATTTATTGAAACACTTCATTGTAACTGAAATTTTATTCTGCTTTATATAAGCTTTAGTAAATATTCTATACAAAATTATCACATATTGATGATTATTTCTGAAGGATAGTTTCTAAAAGCAGAACTATTAGGTCAAAGCCTATAAATACTTTTAAGCTTTTTGACATCTAACTATGTAGCTTCCAACATTTCTAAAAAATAATATTAAACTTAAATGTCTGTTTCTGTAATTCACCAGGTTGGGATAGGACAAAACTATTGATTTTTGAGCATTTGGGTTCCTGTTTTCTTAACCCTGTTTTCAAAGTGCTTTTAAATTATTCATTAACGTGCAATATGGATTCTATTTATAGATGTGTGTGTATGAGATGCTCCCTTAATGTTTTGGAAAAAGCTTACCAATTGTTATCATGTCTCTATCTTTGTAAATCTTTTTATATTTGTATCTACCCTTTGTTTTCAGGGAATCAAATAGAGACACTAAGACACAGAAGGTATTGTGGGTTACTATTTCTCAGATTGGCTGTTCTGAGCTAGCCTTGTTCTTTTCTTCATGTCATTTATTAAGTAGTTGGCATCATGAAGAGAGAGATCAGCGAAATATTATAATTAAAATACTTTTCTAATCTTAAAGTATGTTTATTTAGAAAATGTCTAAAATATAGAATAGCATTAAGGGGCTGGAGAGATGGCCCAGCAGTTATGAACACTGGTTGCTCTTTGCAGAGGACCCAGGTTTGGTTCCCAGCACCCACATGGTGGCTAACAACTGTTCTTAACTCCAGTTCCAAGATATCTAACACCCTGTTCTGACATCCATGGACTTTGTATGCATGTGGTGCACTTATATACATGCAGGCAAAACAGTCATACACATAAAATATAAATAAAAAGAAAAGCATTAAAGGCAGAATAAAAATCTTAACACTCTTGTTACCTACCGTTGCCACTATAGGAACATAACTTGGTTATGCCAGCTTGTTATTATTTTTTTTTTTTTTAGATTTCTGCATCCATGTCTTTGAGTGAAATTGGATTACAGTTTTTCTTGTAGCTATTCTCTTTCTAATCTGATTGACTACTTAATTTGTAGCTTTTCTCTTTTTAGTATGTGTGCTTAAGGTGATATGGGACTTCCTAATAAATAATATTTTCACTGTATTTTAGGGAGTTTGAGTTATTTTCATTATTGTTCAATTCATATTATATTTTCTATTATGACTTTTCCGTTTGGCTACAGGTAATTTAGAAAAATATTGAAAAAATCTAGACATGTATATTTCCTTATTGTTTTCCAGCATAATTATGTTGCTTAAAGATCTTACTTTCTGCAATTTTAATTTGAAATTTGCTGATAATACATTTTTTAGATAATCCTATGTATTTGAAAAAAATTAAGCTCAAAGTACTCTACATTTTCATTTTCTTTGATCATTCAAAAGTAAATGAATATATTGGCATCTCATTCATATTTCTTTTTTAAAAAAATTATTTAATAACCACATGATTAGAAGAAGCATTTCATTACAGCATTAACATAGTCAATAACAATTTCTAGAGCAAAGATGCAGCTCTTTCAAAAGTGGCTATAAATTTTTAGGTTCACTGTTGAATTAATAGTTATACAACATTGAACTCAGTATAAACCCTAGAAGACATAAAATTGAATGAGGTTTTAGCCTATAAAAAAGATCTCCATTTCATTTTAAAATAATCTGTTTCCTACAGAGAAACTTTTTTTTTTTTTTTTTTGGTTTTTTTGAGACAGGATCTCCCTGTAGCCCCATCTGTCCTGGAACTCACTATGTAGACCAGGCTGGCCTTGAACTCACAGAGATCTGCCTGCCTCTGCCTCCCGAGTGCCTGTATTAAAGGTATGTACCACCACACCTGGCTTAGAAAAACTAAATTTTAATGCTACTAATGCTTAGATGTTTGCACATGTGTCTCTATCTGATTATTGCTAGTCATGGTCAGATATACTCAGATCCTTGGCACCTGAATATGGATATAAAGTCATGAGGTAGATTTCAATGGTAATGTTTATCACGTCTACTAATTAACATGAAGTAAATTCTTATGCTTCTTCCTCAAATATAACTCATTTTTTAAATTTGTTGATTTATTTTTGGGTGTATTTCATACAGAACTCCCAAACAATCTTATTTGTCTATAAGCCCACTTTCCAAATGGCACCCTCCCATAGCCTCCCCCTGCCCCCACTGGAGCCCATATACTCTGTCATCTTTGTTACTGTCCACTGTGTTGTTGGTGCCCCAGACGTTTCCCAGTGTTTGTCCATCTGCCGAATCTAGTCAGCCTGTCTACAGTTCCTTGTTTTAGGAAGATCAGCTCTTCCTCATCAAGCAGCAATCAGTTGCCAACATTCCTTTAGATAAGATTGGGGTCTGCTGTTCATTTTCCCAGTTCTATGCTGGATTAGTCTCTGGGAGTCTCTTGGGCCACCCTGGCCAACAACTCAAAGGAAGGTATCTCCTGTCTGGCATTATTTCTTGTTATGTAGCCTTTAGCTATACATATGGACTCAAAAAATTATATTGACCCATTTAATCTTTGGTTATACTTTCCTTTTGGGTGTTTAAGACCAAAGAGTTGGCCCAGATAAACCAATTTATTTTTACTCTTAAGGTCGTTTGAAGATGTGTTCCTTAGGGGTCACATGAGCTTGGGAGGAGCCCCTGGCTCCTTTCTTATAGCAGTTCCATCTATGTGAAGATAAGTCAAAGGTCTTGCTCGATCATGGCTGGCTTTGCTTAGAAGCATGGAGAAAATGTTTCCTCTGTGTTGACCTTCCTCTTTGTAGACTGGACACTGGTTCAAGTTCATTTGATGGGTCTCCATGGCTTCCTTGATCAAGAGGACAGATGACTCTCCACAGTTACAAGACATTTAGAGAGATGATCATAGTCCCCTGGAACTTAGTTGACCTAGGATCTTTCCCTTTATCCCCTACCTTGTACAACCTTCCCTACCGCCTCCCCTTAAAATAACTCCATTTTTATCCATATCTCCCTTATTAACTCCTGTTTCCTACTGTTCTTCTCTTTCAGATTCTTTCTTTTCCTTTACCTCCCTGGTTCCTTTTCATTATCCTGGTTCCTGTAGTTATGTCTGGATACATACTCATCAGGATTTGGGGCTAGGATCCACATATGAGGGAGAACATACGTCTTTTTTTTTTTTTTTTCTAAGTCTGTTTTACTTCACTTAGTATAAGAGTTTCTGGTTCCATCCATTTACCTGCAAATTTCATGATTTCATCTTTCTTTACTGCTGAGTGAAACTCCATCGTATAAATGAACCACATTTTCATTATCAACTCATCTATTGAGGGACACGTAGGTTGCTTCCATCTCTTAGCTATTGTGAAAAGAGCAGCAACAAACATGGATGTACAAGTGTCTCTGCAATGGGTTGAGTTCTTTGGGTATATGCCAAGGAGTGGTATAACTGGGTCAAATGGTAGGTTCATTTGTAGTTTTTTAAGAGTTCTCCACACTGCTTTCTATAGGGGTTGAACAAGTTTGCACTCCCACCAGCAGTGGATGAGCATTCCCCTTTCCCCACATCCTCTCCAACATTTGGCCTCATTTGTTCTCTTGATCTCAGCCAGTCTGACTGTGGTAAGATGAAATCTTAAAGTGGTTTTTATTTGTGTTTCCCTAATTACTAGTGATGTTGAACATCTTTTAAGATGCTTCTTTGCCATCTTTATTTCTTCTTTTGAGAACTCTCTGTTCAGCCCATCTTCTAATTGGGTTACTTCCTTTCTTGATTCTTTGTTTTTTGAGTTCGTTATATAGAGTTCTTGAGTTCAAATATGCTGGTCTCAGGAAGCTGGTGGCTGTGCCACCCAGGGATGCAAAGGGAGGTGGTGGTGGGAAGAG